TATTATAAAATATATAATTAATAATTAGAACTTATTAAAATCGATATACATATAAATAAAATAGTATAAAATATGTATAGAAATGTAAAAAATATTTACAATATATTACTAATTAAAACTCATTTATTATGCTATTTTTATTTAAATTAATCATATTTTTTATTTATTGAAAAATATACTAACAACCCTTATATTTTAAATTTTTAGATGAACTATTGAAAATATTTATAATGATTTATTCTTTTGGACTCTTAATTGTAAATCGATTTAGTAATTTATAAAACTGATTAATTATTAGTTCTACTGTTACGCTTTTTTAATATTGATATTTTACTCCTTTTTTTTGTGTAATCATATATTTTTAACCTCATTTTTTTTTTTCTTAAAAATTTGTCATTTGATAAGCTTTCATGGAAAAAAATGCTATGGAATGTTGTGTAAAAGTTCAATTTAATAAAAATTCAACCAAAAAACTTATATTTCCATAAATTATATATTTTGAACTTAAATTATAAATAATAAAGTAAAAAGTTTGAAGGTGATACAACTTTTAAGTTTTTAATAGTACACATACCAATATTTATATTTATTTATCGTAAATATATTTTCATGTGAAATGAGTGTTTCAACTTAAACTACAAGCTCGTTATTTAACCTTTAAAATCGGGCTCCCTCGTTAAAATTTCTAGATCTGTCATTGACTACAAATAGTTACATTTTGAATAAATATGCATATTTTCGTATAGAATGGCATATTTAAATGACAACATAAATGAAAGTAAAATATTCGGATAAATATAAGTATATTTATATTTGTTAAAAATAAGATGGATCGACTAGCTAATGATTCAACCGCCTCACACAATTATTTGTGTTACATGCAACTTTATTTATTTATTTTTCTGGTTTGCTGAGTTAGGTATTGCAATAAATATTAACCTCTCATTTGAGCAGTTATTTTTCTGGTTTGCTGAGTTAGGTATTGCAATAAATATTAACCTCTCATTTGAGCAGTTTCAATTTTATGTTATCTACCTATTTGTTTTATTACCAACATATTCTCATGCACTACAAGAAAAACTGCATTAGACGACGCTTATTAATGACGCTTATTGGCGAATTGTGTTGCTAAATTTGATGTCAGAAAAAAATAAGCGTCAGTAAACAAAAAAATAAACGTCGTCAAATGCAGTTTTTCTTGTAGTGTCATATTCAACTGCTCCATAAATTCAAGAGCACGCCAAACCTAAGTGAAATTGAAAGAAACTGAGAGAAAAAGAGTGCGATTCAAATAACATGAAGTACATTATAAGTGGGAAAAATTCATATATAACTCAAGTGAAATTCCATTCTAAAACCAATTGTTATTACGTGTAATTTTTCAATGGTAGTGTATATCCATCACAATTTTCTACTAAACTGATGTTGCCTTTGGCATGCGTACGACAAATTTTTCAATTTGTAATTTTCTCAAAGTACTAATTTTTGCAAGTTGGTATAAAGTGAAAACACTAGGAAATGAGATTTTATGTTCCATTATGGTGCTATTTTTCATACCTCACTCCCTTTAAATGACACTTCAATATGATGAACTTTTATATATACCATGTATATTATTCATTCAATAATATGGAATGAAACGTCTAAGTGAAATTGTAAAAAAAGGGGGCAAAATGGGTGTCGTGCGTACCAAGACAGAGAAAACTCAGATGAAGTCTGAAGTGATGTTTCATCCTGAAACCAATTGGTGGAAAGAGAAGTAGCCCACTAGACTTATAAATGAGACATATTTTCCATATGTAAACGATGTGAGACAACCCACAAGTGAATATTCTAATAGAAACAAAACAAAAGATCTCCTAGCCACTAGTGTTATGCAATTTTCTTTAATTGTTTGCACCAAGGGTTCCAAACGAATGGAGCGGCTCGCGAGCCACACGCGAGCGCTCAAGTCAAAGCTTGACTCTAGCTTGAGTTTGACCGAATTCGAGTCGAGTTCATTGTCGAACGACTCGAGATATATGTTAAACTACTAAAATACTCTTTATATATATTACAATAGTACAACATAGGTGCTTAATGATAATTTTACATTTCCACTTAAAAACTTTCGAGCCAAACTCGAGCATTTTGATTTCGAGTCGAGCTCGACTAAAGAAAAAATTCAACCCTGCTCGATTTGACTCGGCTCGTTTGCAACTACTTCACCATGAATCAGATATCAATTGATGGGAGATAATTTTATTTAATTGTCTCACTAATAGTATTCTAACTTTTGGTCATTTTTTAATGAATTAGAAGCATCTGAAAAATAATATATAGACTGATGCAAGCACACTACACTAGCACTAGAATGTTAGGCATGCCAACTTCAACTCAACAAATTTGGGACCTCTGCCTAAACAACGACAAATTAAAAGGGGAAAAAAAGACGAGATCAAATTGGAGTCAACCATTAGAAAATCTATAAACGCTCAATAATAATAATAAAAAAAAAAAGCACAACTTACCATATTTAATTTTAGATCTCAGTAAACTTAAAATTATTTGAAACCATACTTTAAATGGTATGTTTTGCCAAATCTAACTTTTCTTTTTTCTCCTTTTTTAAAAAGGAGGATCGATGGTGTTCCCACTTCTCCTCCTTTGTGACTCGAACCCATGACCTACCGGTTATACGTGAAGCGTCTTACCAACAAATGAATCTTGAATTATACCTAATAGCTAATGACAAATATATATAGTTGTAAAACTAGGTGATATAATAAAACTTATTTGATAAAATTAAGCCAGGAAGCTTCTTGGAAGAAACATGTGTTGGCCAAAAACCAATCAATTCATATTATTGGCAACAAGTCTTGACACCAACATTTCCCCAATCCAAGTTGTGGGCATCACGACTTTAACAAAATTGAGCCTCACTTTTCATCTCATACACAAACACAACGAATAGTTAAAAAAAGAAAATCAAATCAAGACCGTCCATTTTTTCTTTGTCAAGAATCATCACATACTTTGACAAGCAGCAAATATGCTATAAGAAGCTACCCCAATCCTTACTCCCTCTTGGGATGTCCCAAGTCACAACCCATCTTCTCAAACTAACTTCAAATTTCGAAAGAAGCAAAAGGAAAAAAAAAAAAAAAAATGGAAACGAAAAACGAGTGCAGAGAGTACGAAGATTTGTTACCGGTGATGGCGGATAAGCTGGATTCGGAGACCTTCGTGGCCGAGCTCTGTGGCGGGTTCCGGCTACTGGAGGACCCGGCTAAAGGGCTGATCACGCCTACGAGTCTGCACAAGAATTGCTCGGTTTTGGGGCTGGAAGGGATGAGTGAAGAAGATGCAGAGGCCATGGTTCGTGAAGGGGACCTCGATGGAGATGGGGCCCTCAACCAAACCGAGTTTTGCATTCTGATGGTCAGGCTCAGTCCGGAGATGATGGAAGATGCCGAGATTTGGCTCGACAAGGCCATTCGAGAAGAATTTGTGTGTGTAGGCAGTGCCTCGACATCTGACTAGCTGCCTTTATGTTTCTGTATGCTGTTTGTCTTTCTTTCTTTTATTTTTTTCTCCTACTTTGGTGAAAGTGTGATTGAAAGAAAGTGGCACTAACAAGTGAAAAACAGATCCGAACTACTTGCTGAATAAACTCGCGACTGTATTAGAAAGTTGTAACTCGTTTTCCTGTAGAAAATGATGTGATGCTAGCCTTAACATTCTTCACAAAAGTTTCTCCTTTCAAAACATTTTATGTAGATGAGTAAAAGATATAGCCTACAGGCATCAACAGGTTATATCCTATCTTAGTGAGTGTGGAGTGGGTTTGGCATATGCAGAGAGAAATAAGGGAGAAATAATAGACACGTTTGTATTCGAAATTTGGTATATCCAAGTATTAAGTCAGCATACAGCCATTACAATACACAACCTATAACTATAAAATCAACATAACACCAAAATCCAAAGACATTACGAGAAAAAACTTTTGCTATGGCGCCATTCAAGCTCTTGAGACCTACTGTACAAGGAACAGAGAAACAAGCTCGTAAACAACATCAAGTCGCAAATGCAACCTAAAGAATGTATCACACAGTAAGTACTTCTAACTTCAATGCACATACTCCAGGCATGTAGAGTGCAGCATTTTGTTGAATTTACAAAATAAACATCTATTACGGACAAAAGGGTAAAAGAAACCATTAACATGAAACCGTATTATGAGTAACCCAGATATGATAGGGCAAAAGAGTAAAAGAACTCGGTCATACTACAGATGATTTAAATAGCAGGCATAGAGTACACTACCTCATACGGGTGTACCCTAGAGCTTTTGTGGCAGTTCTCCAAGGTTTTAAATTGCACAAATGCGAAATTCCGATGAATGCACACGTCAGAACCTTCCCATAAGGGTCTTTCTACGTCATATTCTCTGGTATGGATGAGGTCGAAGTTTATCACGAAGTGAGTCCTTGTTGGCCTCTGGTTTAGTGCCCTCCCATCAC